TTCTTCTTCTTCTTTCTTCTTCTTCTTCGGAATTGAACTCAGGACTTTGCACTTGCCAGGCAGGTGCTCGTGTTGCTGAGCTATATCCCTGGCCCCTAACAGTTTCATATCATTAAAAATTTTTCTAGGGCCAGGGATATTGCTCACTGGCACAATGCCTTCCTGGCAAGCGCCAGGTCCTGAGTTTGATTCCTGGAACCAAAAAAAAGAAAAGAGCAGTAAAAATATTTCTAAGAAAAACAACAACAAAAAACCACGTCATGAAAGTAGTGGAGAGGGGACAAGAATAGTAACAGAAGGGGGAGCACAGGGTGCACGCGGTGACCTTGGGCTGAGAAGAGTTGGCTGAGGCCCTTGGCTTGTCCGTCCCTGGACTGGGCAGTGTCACCAGGTCGCATAGAGAGCCATCTCAGAGTGGGACATGCGTGTGAGGAGTGACACTCGGAAAGCAACTCAGAAATAACGGGTAAAAAGAAAGGAAATGCCCTAGCAATCGCCTGCAGTGACTAGAGAGAAAAGAGATTTTACAAATGGCACTTTTAGTCCTGTCAGACATTTAAAGTGTATCAGATTGGCTTCTACTGCTCTTAGAGTGATTTCTTATTTAACAGACTTTTTTTGTGCCTAATGATCAACCAAAGAATTTTGAATCTTTTGAACTGAAGTCCCAAATTAAATACCTTTTGTAAGTAGCCCATATTTCTCTCCTTACTTCAAAGGTTGGATCTTTGGTTTTTATTTGTTAAATTTTTCATCTATCTATCTTACAGCACTGGAGATTGAACTCAGGGTCTTCACACTGAGCTACACTCCCAGTCCATTTTTAAAAACTATTATGGGGAATTAAGTACTTCCCAACATGATTGTAAAGTGCGTAAACTGCAAACATGTACTAATAAAAAATACTATTATTTGAGACAGAGTCCCACTGAGTTGCTAAATTACCCAGGCTGAGCATGTTCTCATCGTCCTCCTGCCTTAGCCTCCCAGAGTGCTGGGACTCTGTGTGGCAGAAGAGGTTGAAGCCTTAGGTGGGGGCCGAGCCCTGGCTTGGCTGTTTTCCCTTGGGGTGGTGCGGGCTGGTCACTGGCCTCTCCAGCTCCACATCCTTGCTCTCCTGTCACCTCCTTAGGCCACTGTGAGAGTGACTCGAAGAGACACAGGTACAGGGGCTTTATGCAGCCGCGTGTTACATGCGAACCCAGAGCGCCAGGCATCCACTGAGGGAAACACCTCTCCTGGAGATGCAGCCAGGCACACAGCTGTTTCTGGAAACACTGGCTCCACAATGTTCTGTTTGCCTTAATTTACATCCCAGGTAGCTTGCCCCACCTTCGGGACTGTTTCCCCTGCCAGTGTCCATCCTCGACAATTCCAGTAAGTATTATACACCCAATTTCTAGTTCTATCTATGCTGTGAATGTAAATGTTTCCCAGTGGTAATAACAACACAGAATGGTGCCTGATTACAGTTCAGTAATCCTCTCTTTCCTGGATTTTTTTTTTTTTTTTTTGTGAGACTGGGTGTCACTGTGTGTAGTTCAGGCTGTGTTCAACTTCCTATATAGCCCAGACTGGCCTCGAACTCACGGAAATCATCCTGTCTCAGCCTCCTGAGTGCAGGATTTGCAAGACCCTGACTTTAATATTTTACAAGAATTCTAAAACCAGAAACAATGGAAAAATACCAGAAAATACATAATCTTACTTTTGAAAATCCAAGCATGATGTATCATATTTTAAGTTGTGGTTATATGGACATATTAGCTAGCATGTTGGTGAATACATAATGTATGTATGTCATATATGCTATATTTATATGATATGCTATATATATATATAGGTTTTTGAAAGAAGGACTTGCTCTATTGATCAGGTTGGTTGTCAACTCCTGGGCTCAAGCAGTCCTCCTGCCTCAGCCTCCTAAATTGCTGGGACCACATTCCCAACAGGTTTATTATCATAACTCATCTTTAAAGGGGAAGACCTTGAACTTCATAAATATTTTCATATAGCCACCATTCCAATCTTAAGGAACGTGTGAGTGACTTGTGTTTGTATCAATGCCCTGTACTTTTTTGGATTTCGTTAATTAGATTACTTCTGAGAATATATTGACTAGACAATTAAAAATGTAAAATATGTTGAATTGGTTTCTGGTCTGAAAACTGTATATATTCACTGTTTAAAAAATAAAAATCAGAGAAATAGAAGGAAATTTAAAAAATCATCCATAATTACATTATTAAAAAGCAATTACTATTTTAAAAATTTGGTGAGGGTATATTTCTTTGAGTCTCTGTTTGACATGCAGTGTCTTGTTTTACACCGTTGCAATCATATTTTATTATAAAAAGCATTGTCCACACTGATATGTGGCCTTATTTTTAATGCCTGATTTGTATTTCATTAAATGGATATGTCATTAATTTTCCTTTCACTTATGCACATTTTTGGTGACCACGGTTAATGTTACAAAGCTTTAAAGGTTGTTTCAGATTATTAAAGGCTTGAAATAGAAATGTGAGATTAAAGAGCATAAATATTTCTGAGGTTCTTGGTACACGCAGTCAGGCTGTCATTTATGGACCCAGCACGCTTCCTCTGCGCAACTCTGCTCTAGGTTGTCATTTAAAATTTGGTCTTTATTTGGAGATATTTTGTGTCCTTTAGGTATACTTTGGATAATGATGTCCTAACCTTGGAACAGAGGAAATTTTATGAAGATAATGGGTTTCTTGTCATTAAAAATCTGATATCTGATGCTGATATTCAACGCTTTCGGTACAGTAATATTATTTTACAAAAATATGTATTTTATGTATAAAATGGGGAGTTTAAATTAGATTAGCTTCTTCATGTTCTGATTTTTTTTGGTGGCGGGGAGGATTTTTGAGGCAGAGTCTTTCTGGACAGTTTAGGCTGGCCTTGAACTCACCCCAGGCTGGCCTCAAACTTGCAGTGATCCTCTTGTGTCAGTCTCCTTAGGGGCTGGGATTATAGGTGTGCACCACCGCGCCTGGAGTTCCAGTATTGTTCTAATGATGTGGTTTGTCAGGCAGTGTTTAGGAGCAGGAATAATGTACGAGGCTTTAATCTCAGCTCACTGCCAGACATGATGTGCCTGGGGTAATCATCTTAGCTTTCTATGCTCTGTGTCCCCATCTGCAAAATAGGCACAGTAATAGTAGTGATGTCCTGGCATTGTCTTTAGTACAAAATAAGGTAAAATATGTGGATGGCACTTTGCACAGGGCCTGCACATAACAGGTGCTACAGAAGTATTTGCTTTGAGCATTCCTAATCCAAACTTCCAAAATTGAAAATCCTCCAAATTCCAAAACTTTTTGACCACCCAAATGCCACAAGTAGAAAATTCCACACCTGACTTCATGCAGAGGGTTGGTATAAACTCACCTTTAGGCTGTGCATATAAAGTGTATGGGAAACAGAAATGAATTTTGCGTTTAACTTGGGTCCCGTCTGAAGGATGTCTCATTATTCCAAAATTTTGTAAAAATTAAGAAACCTGAAACACTTCTGACCCCAAGCATTTCAGATAAAGAATAATCTACCGATGTCCTTACAGTGAACCCACATCACATTTCCCTATTCATCTGCTAAACCAGAGGACCCCAACCGTGGGTCACTAACCAGACCTTTAAATCGTACTAAGACCCGGGCTGCACAGCAGAACGTGAGCAATGAGCCAAGCAGGGAAACTTCATCTGTCTTTCCAGCCTCCCTGCCTGCCCTCCTGTCAGATCAGAGGAGTTTGAACCCTGCTGTGAATACACATGCAGGGGATCCACAGTGCCAGCTCCTCTGAATCCCAATCCCTCTCCCTACGTGGTGGAATAAATTCCCTTCCACAGAACCAGTCCCTGGTGCCAAAAAAGTTGGGCACCACCAAGAGAAGGAACATTTTAATTCTGGTAGTGGATTCCAGCTGGGAGGATAGGACTTCTGATCTGGCCCTTTTCTCCTCCTTCCCATCAGAATTACTGTAGCAGGCCTGAAGGCTGGCTCCTAGCACATCTCAGAGCCAGTGATCATGACACTAAATTAAATTTTCCAGGGATGAGTTTGAAAAAATCTGCAGAAAGGAGGTAAAACCACCTGGAATAACGATAATGAGAGATGTGAACATTTTGAAGTCAGAACATACTATAAGTGAGAAAGTGATTTCAAAGGTCCAGGATTTCCAAGAAGATGAAGAGCTCTTCAGATACTGCACTCTCCCCGAGGTAAGAGCTCTGTCTACATTTGTTTCTGCTTAATAGTCAGTTGGCATGTCTGCCCCCGTGTCTGCTTTTTAATTGATCTCATCCCTTTCCACATGTGGCGCTAGCACAGTGGTTCTCTACTGGGGGTGATTTTGCCCCGAAGTGGGTATTGGCAGTGTCTGAAGACATTTCTATTGTTTTTTGTTTGTTTGTTTGTTTGTTTTCCGGTACCAGGAATCAAACTCATGACCTTGCACTTGCCAGGCAGGCTCTGTACCGCTGAGCTAAATCCCCAGCCCCTGAAGACATTTCTATTGTCACACCAGCGGGGAGCGTGTGGTGCTGGCTTCTAATGGGGCGGGGCCAAAGATGCTGCTGATAGGCCCCAAAGATCCTAAAATGCACAGAAGAGCCCCTTCCCCAAACTAAAAATGATCACACCCAAATACCAGAAGAGCCAGGACTGAGAAACCCTGCTGTAGAGTGTGCTGATTATCTCCTCCTTTGAGAAAGACAGGCATTCTGGGTTAAAGAAAGAGTCCTTCTGAGCCCTTTAATACAGGGGTAAAATTGTGGGGCTGTTATTTGTGAATTCATTTCTTTTTTCTTTTTGTTTTATGACTCTTGACTGTAGAGTTATTAATTTGTTTTTAAATTTAAATTGAATGTTTAAAACCACATTCTTTGCTAGGAATGCATATCTATACAAACATGCAGGCAGTACAGAAGGGCCTAACTTGAGAAGATCCCTTGCCCCCAGCCCCACTCTCCATGAAACTTTTTGCATATTCATCTGGAATTGTGTCATGTGTGTGCAAGCTTATGTGTATACTCTCACCTTTTTGTGTGTGTCACATATGAACATATTACCCATTGCCTTATTTTTTTCATTTACAGCAGGTCACAGACAACTTTTATTATCAGTGCAATGGTTAGTCTCGATTAAAGCACACTTCAGAGTGCAGCTGCGTGGGTTGAGAGGGCATGACCTTGGGAGCTAAATCTGGTCTCTGACCTCTGGCTTTTTTTTTGTTTTTTTTTTCCGGTACCGGGAATCGAACTCATTTCTATTGTCAGCACCACACTTCTATAAGCCAGCACCACACGCTCCCCGCTTGCCAGGCAGGCGCTGTGCCGCTGAGCTAAATCCCCAGCCCCTGGTCTCTGACCTCTGTGCTGTGCTTCCTGGCTGCTGTGGGTAAGCAGCGCTCTGCTGCCATACCTTTCCGCTGTGTTTCCACCTTGGAGGCAGCTCACCATGGACCAAAACCTCTCAAACCAGGAGCCAAAATGAACTTTTTCCTCCTTAAATTGTGTGTGTCGGATATTTCATTCCAGCAACAAACTGACTAACACATCAGTTTTATGGATGTACTTCATACCTTTTATTTTTATTATTACTTTTTCTTCTTTGACATAGGGTCTTGCTGTGTAGTTCAGGCTGGCCTAGACCTAGTGACCCTCCTGCCTGTCCGCCAAGTGCTGGGATCACAGGCATGGGCTAACATGCCCGACCACCATCTTGGTCCTTGTATCTGTAGCTGTGCTTTATGCCACTTGCCTCTACTTCTGATTTCCCAGGAAGTTGACCTTTTTTCCTTTTGTTTTAGATTCTGAAATATGTGGAGTGCTTTACTGGACCTAATATTATGGCCATGCACACAATGCTGATAAACAAACCTCCAGATACTGGTAAAGGACTTTTACTTTTTAGGGAGGAGCAAGAGAAAAACAGTTTAGTCAAAATATGTAAAGTAGATCTGCTTTGACTGATGAATGTATGTACTTTTATTTAAATCTTAAAATAGCTATTATAATAGTGATTTCAGGTGTTGACTATAGGTTTACTGTAAGATTTTCAGGTGACTGCCCAAAAGTGCAGTTTAACAAACATAACTCTTCATATACATCATTCATATCTATTCAGTACTTCTGTGCCTGAGCAGCCATTCCTAGCCATGATAGCTTGGATTCTGGATTCCTGATCTAACACAAAGCTACTACTATAAGTTACACATTCATGTTCTTAAAATGTCTTGTGCTTGCCAAAATGTAGATCCTAAAACCTCACTTGCAGAGAGACTGATTCCAAAATAAGGAGAAGTCAGTTGTCTGCATTTTAATAATTGTCCCCAGAGATTCTATTGAGGTACCCACAAGAGCCTTCCAAACCAGCAACAGAAATCAGCCATGAGAGACCTTTTTCCTTTTCTACTTTGTCTTTCTTCTGACCGAAGGGATTTATGTGATAGGTCTGAAGGTCAGTGTCACCAGGTGTCTTCCTCCACATATGTCTCACCCGGAGAGGTCTGGTGATCAGACACCAAGTTCCAAGAGCAAAGTTGGGGGAAACGGCCATGTGGTCATTGCCTTTGACTGGACACTGACTACCCAGGATGCCTATCGTTCTGTGAAGAAAAAGCTCTTAGGGAACTGTTTTCAGCAGTAGCAACTGCTGAAAACTGTTTTCAGCAGTAGCAACTTAGAAAAGGAACCTTAACTGTGGTCCTGTACCCTTCTTTTCAATTTAATTGGTCCAACTTTTAAAAATCCTCTGCTCCCTCTTTCCTGAATCCAGCATGACAAGGAAGTGAAGTACAGTAGAGACGCTGATGTCTGTATGAGGCACGTGCAGAGTTCCAGGCTAGCTTCCAGTAGCCCAGAAGAAGAGTAGAGGGTCTCACTATGCAGTTCAGACTGGCCTTGAGCTCACTTTGTAGCCCAGGCTGGTCTCAAACTCGAAACAATCCTCCTGCCTCAACCTCGCAGAGTGATGGGATTACAGGCGTGGACGACCACACCCAGCTTTTTTTCTTTGTTTTTTGAGACAGGATCTCACTATGTAGTTCAAGCTAGCCTTGAGTTCACTGTGGTGCCCAGGCTGACCTCAAACTCGTGGTGATCCTCCTGCCTCAGCCTCCTGAGTGCTGGGATTACAGGCATGCGCCGCTATGCCCTTCCTCTCGTGGTGCTTTGATAGCTCAGTTTAGTGTTCACTTCCTAGGACTGCTTCCGTATAGCTTTGTTGCATTTGTTTGGTTTTTGCAGAGATACATCACCATGTTACAGTTTTTTACACAAAGGATGAGAATTTGGAGACTCAAGCATGTCTCTCTCTCTCTTTTTCTGTCTCCCTCCCTTTTTCCCTTCCTCCCCTCCTCCCTTTTTCCATCCTTTTGCGACAGGGTCTCACTCTGCAGTTCAAGTTGGCCTTGAACTTAGTATGTAGCCCAGGCTGCCCTAGAACTTGTGGCAATCCTCCTGCCTCAGCCTTTTGAGTGTTAGGATTTACACGCGTGTGCCACCACTCAGGACTGGAACATCTTTTGATAGCAAGTTCTCTTTTAGGCAAGAAGACATCACGTCACCCCTTGCACCAGGATCTGCACTATTTCCCCTTTCGGCCCAGCGATCGCATTGTTGCTGCTTGGACCGCAATGGAGCACATTGACCGGAACAACGGTTGTCTGGTTGTGCTTCCAGGTACCCACAAAAGCTCCCTGAAGCCACACGACTACCCGCAGTGGGAGGTAGGTCTGCCGAAGCTCTGCATCTTGATCAGAATCTGTCACTGTTTTATCCATAGAGATAAGACATTTCCTTTCTTAGCAAAGCATTGCCTGAGATTTACAATTGGGATCAGGGAAAGCTCAAGGCTGGCCAAGGCTGGCAGTTAAAATATTCATCAGTGTATTTTTTCAACATAAGTTTGAAAGCCAGTTAGTGTAGGGGAACTCAGATAGGTGCAGCATAGGACCTGAGGCTCTAAGGCCCAATTGCAGAGATCACACACAAACACTTCAACCCTACATAGGACACGTGCCGGGTCTTACTGATCGGTGGTTCTCAGGGTGCAGACCAGCAGAGGCTGGTGTTTGAGCTGAACCTTGAAGAACAGGGTAGAATTTCATACAGCAGAGAGGTCAAGGGCCAACACAAACCTGGCTAAAGCATGGGAAGGAGAGGGGAGCTCACGGTGCAGATGGGTGGGGTGCAGTGGGGGTAGCAGAGGAGAGTGTAAAAAGGAACATTAGAACTGTTTAACACTAATGAGTCTCCAGTTTATTTGGGGAGAATGGGCATCTGCCCCACCTTTGGGTGGTACTGGAGATCAACCCCAGGGCTGTCACACTCAGCTACAGTGCCAGGCTTTTTAAATTTTATTTTTCTTAGTACACGTTTTCCGTGCATAATGATTATATTCATTGCAGGGAGTTGGTACATGTGCAGAACACATCTTAATTCTTTTTACTTTCCCTTCTTCTCCATTCCCTCCCCCTACCCTCCATTATTTTGTTGTTTTTTTTTTTTAATTTTAAGACCTGATCTAACTAAGTCGTTCATTAAATTGCCCATGCCAGGCTCAAATTTGAAATTCTCTTGCTTCAGCGTCCCTCTGGGTACCAGAATTCCAGGCATGTGCTACCAAGCCCAGCTGAAGACCTTCTTTATTTTAGGAATTTGGAAGAGCTGTTACTTAAGTTTATTGAGGTATACTGTCATATAAAAAAACTGCAAATTTTGAGTGTACAATTTGATCATTTTTGGCACATACATATACCATCACCACATCACAATCAAGAGAAAACCTCCCTCCTGCCCCAGGCAACCACTGAGTTGCTTCCTGTTCCTGTAGATTAGTTTGCATTTTCTGAAAGGTTCTGTAAGTATGATCACGTGGTCACTTTTAGGGGTGTGGCTTCTTTTGCTTAGCATAGTTATTTTGAGGTTCACCAATCTTAGCAGCTCATTCCTTCCCATTGCTGAGTAGTACTAGGTTGCTAGACCCTACCATTCAGCTATTGATGCTGGGAAATATTAAATGCTTCTGCATCTGTGAACAGTGAGATTGAATCAGTTCATCAGGAGAAAGAATTCTCATGGTCTGGCACAGGATTTGTTGATAGGCCCAGGGCAGAGAACTGGAGAGAAGATTCTCAGCATTTTAGGGTTAAGGATGAAAGTTCCTGAAATCTCTGTTGATTTTATATATGTATATAAAACTATAAGCATCTACTATGGATTTTTCTCTCAGCAGCATTCCCTGCTGAGTCATGGTCGAAGTTTTGGTTATGAGCGTTCTCACGTATAGACTTGGCCTCTCTTATGTGCCCAGGGTGGAGTTAACCTCATGTTCCACGGGATCCAAGACTATGAACAGGAGAATAACCGTGTGCACCTCGTAATGGAGAAGGGAGACACTGTCTTCTTTCATCCTTTGCTCGTCCATGGATCTGGGCGGAACAGAACTCAAGGATTCAGGAAAGTATGTATTCACATGGCCACGGTTTTCAAAGTTGAGTGGGTTAGAAACAAAAAAAGGATTTTTTTTAACATGTAGATTTCTTTTCTTTTTAGTGCTGTTAATTTGAATTTTATTGACTTTAAATTTTGTTTGCATTAAACTTGAAAATGTGTTTTAGCTTTATAGCCCTAAAAGGATCATAAGTGTGAGTTGTCAGTTTATTTTGGGTTTCATATTTGTACATAGTCAAGTAACATAATGATAAAAATATCATTACCATGTTGAAGGACCATGAGATGTTTCTTTTACTCCCCCACCTCTCTCTCTGTCTCTCTGTCTTTCTCTCTTTCTCATAGCAATTGAACTACCACCCTTTTAAAATTTTGAGACATTATCTTGCTAAGTTAACATGTCAAAGATTTATGACTTCAGTGAATCGAATTTTAAGTCCAGTTTATTTGCCAGGAAATCTATTTGCCCTCCTTATACGTTTTTTTTGCTTATCAGAGATTCCAGGTGACCTTAGGACCCTAACCCTGTCAACAGGGAATCATGATTGGTGGAAAAAATGCTGTAAACGCCAGCTTCCTTTAGAGCACGTAGCTTCTGCTCATAAGCATAGCAGAGGAAAGTTTGCCGTGCCTTTACTATTGGAAAAAAATCGTATTGATCCAAAATAAAGGTTCTGAATTAGCTGCTCAGAAGTCAGAGTTAACAGGCAGCCATGATTCTCTCAGCCTCTACCTTAGGGTATTTTAAATTTAATGATTTCAGTGTTTACATTGAAAAGCTGACAAGATTCCTCATCAGTTTCCTGATCTCTCACTGTTCTCAAATCCAACAGCTCTGACACTAGCGTGGGGTCTCAGTTCCCCATGGTAACAGCGCTGTTCGTACTAAATTGGGGCTTTCCATGCACTTTGTCCCGTGGCTCCCACAGATCCCTGTTGTCTTTCCCAGGCACCTCTTCTGTTTACCTAGACTCCTATAGGCTCAGCAGGGCGGGCATCAGGCTGAGGCAACTGAGGAACTGCCTCAGGACAAAACGGAAGAGGGTGCCAAAAACAACCAGCAATCAAGTTAAATACTGCTTCAATAAATCAGAATGCGTGTCAAAATCCATGCTGTGCTTAATGCCAACATTTTTAATAAAAGACAGGATAGGACCCTGCACTGGCGCAGCCCTCAGAGCTAAGCAAGTAAGGCATATCTATGTGCTCACAAGTAATGTGAGTTTTAGTATTACGACTGCAGTTTGTCAGTATTTTTCTAATGACTTTAATGTTCTAGAAAAATACCCACCATTATTCCATAGCAGCGTGGATACAGGAGCACACCCCCGCCACCCCCTACCCTGTCAGCACATTTTTCCTTTTGTCTCGGGCCATGACGTGGTTCTGCCAGGCACTGGGTACTGATATTTGGGGCAAAGCAGAAAATCGTGATGGGTGCACTTCCCTTAAAATAATTAACTTGTCCTCAAGGAGGTGAGTTTTACATACTGCTTTGCAAGTGGTAAGTGGGTTTATGCCAGTGATGCAATGTGGGCCAGTGATGCAATGGACAGCGCATCTACCTAGGATGAGAAGATTCTGGAAGAGGGAGAACCAGGGACCTTTAGTCTTTACCCTCAGACAAAACCAGGTAGATATAGTCGTGTCAGTGTTACTAACCTTTAAATGTCTCTTGAGAGAGAATGCATATTACTTTCCTTTTCAAGGTATTTGAGTCTCTATTGAAATCCGAGCCCATCCCAAATTCAACTACATGACTAACTTTTATTACTAAGGAAATGACAAACAGTAAGATGCCTTCTTTTACAGAGTTTCAGGGTGTCTTTACTCATTAGGAAAAGTAAATGCTTAAAACATTAAAGATCTCTTGTTTAGGGGATTATGTTATGTGTCCTGCATAGATCTTTAAAATAGATGGCACAGCTAGTTTAAAAAAAATCTTTGTAATTTCTCAGTTAACTTTTAACTGAGGTTGGGGGCAGAGGGTGGGGCCAAGCTACAAAGGGATTTGGGATTCCACAGACCAGGACTGCATGTAGGAATCAAATCCTGAGTGGAAAAAATTGATTTTCTAGAAGGAGGACTCCTTGCTTGGTTGCTGCTGTTAGTGGATATTTTCTCCAGTATCAATGTATTCATTCTGCACAGGCAATTTCCTGCCATTATGCCAGTGCCAATTGCCACTACATTGATGTGAAGGGCACCACTCAAGAAGGCATTGAGAAAGAAGTGCTGAAAGTAGCAGACAAATTTGGCCTAACTGAAGATGTCAGCCTGAAGGTATGCTTGTATGATTATTATTTTTTTTTTTTGTACCGGGAATTGAACTTGGGACCTTGCACTTGCCAGGCAGGCACTCATACTGCTGAGCTATATCCCCGGCGGTATGCTTGTATGAAATGACAAGGATATCAGGTTCTTCTTTTCTTTGGGTGGTTAATGAATACCTCGGTTCATTTAAAAGTCTACAGTGCTTAGGTTTAGGGTTCATTGCAGAGGCATTCCTAGCCCTACTCAGAATGACAGTGGGGTTTCAGTTGCACACTTGCTTCCTCATTTGGGGACTTGAGATCTGACGAGGTCTTCCTAGCTCTTTGGTAGTCCTGTGTGTGTTAAGTGGGGCATCCGGAATTCGAAACAGATGAGAGGAGATGAAGGAGCCTCTTTATGGAGGCATAGGGGCAAAGGTGAAGGTTTATAATCTCAACCCTTGGCCTCTTTTGTTTGTGGAGAATAGAGTATGCATTAGGAATTCCAGAAAGACTCCTGGGGAGGGCAATGCCTGGGCAAGTTTTCATTCTGGTTGCTTTGCAACTGGAGGTTTATGAGAGGCATAATTTGCATGGTGCATAGACGAAAGACCACTGAGAGTCCCTGGAGTATATATTACACATGTGTTTTATCAAGGTTGTGCTAAAGTACTCCTTTATTTATTTTATTCATTTACATTAGTTACCTTATAAATTATAGTTTATTAGGTTTATTTAGGGTAACAATACTAAATATAATTCTTTCCAAACAATAAAAAGCCTTTACATTTCTTTGCTTATTTTCTTCACCAAAACCCAGTAGAACAGTAGTATAGCTCCATGGTATGAGGAAGAAATTAAGAGTCCCTGAGGTCTTAGTCTCAGCAACCAAGCGAGATTTCAGATTCAGGCCTAATTCTCAAATCATTTGTTTGAACAAACAGTTAAAAAATAAACAAGAAACAAGAGCATTTAAATTGTTTTATGAAGAACAGAGGGGGTAGAAAAAAAACAGTAACCCATGGCACCATATTCACTGTTATATCTAATCAGGTGTGGAACCCTTAAAGTGGTTCTGGTGGGTAACATAAAGGTAAGGAGGCAGGCAGCAAATTGAACTGTGAGCAAGCGTCACACCCACCTGGTCTGTCACCTGTAATTAGCGTGGGGCCAAATCAGCAGGGCTGACAGCTGAGGGACGCACTGACTTAGTGTAGTTAGCACTACTATAGATCAATTGTTGTCTCAGAACATGTTTCATTTATTAAATTATTAGGTTCTTTTTTTCCTTTTATCCATCTTTATCTCATGGTGAATAGGCCAGTGGAAATGCTCCATAAATTCTTTCTGTTTGGAATCATTTCCAGGATATTTGGAAGTTTCGAGCCCGGCTTGTGAAAGGAGAACGAATTAACCTTTGAAATAGCCCTTCATTATAATGCTTTTAAAGGAAGTCAAAGTGAAACAAAGAGTCTAAGGAAAAGGTTTTCTTTTGGGGGTGGTATAACCTTTTCTATCACTTTTTAACAAAATCAGGAAATATGTATTAAGGACTTAATTATATAGAACTGATTTTGCAGTGCGGTGCTTTTGCTTTAATGGAAGTAAAAACAATGAAAATGAAATACCATTGTTTTAAAAACAAATCTGTGCTTACAGAAAATAAAGGCACTTGGTGTATAATTTAAATATGGTCAATCCGTTTTCTTTTATTTAATGAGCTCTTTGCCCAAGCAGAAGGAATTCCTTGAAACTCAGAGCACTGAGTTGTGCCAGTAACCTTCCAGCTACCAAGGTCATGTGCAGAGCAGGGCGCACATGGTACATTCACACTTACTGAAGGGCGTGCGAAGGAAATCATGGAGCCCGATGCCTGGACGCAGGCTTCCTCCCAAGACTTCTTAACCCAAAACCCGCCTTAAAAAAATACGTCTTTTCCTCTGTTCCTAAAGAATGAAAACCAGGGCAACTTTATTTGCATTTTTCATTGTGCATGGCAATTTGTAAGTGAAACCTAACCTCTTCCCAGTTACAGGAACATTTTTAGATATTTTGCCTGGATTTGCAGTGTGTGTGGCCTGGGGGTTTATTTGGATATAGCAGTATGTTTCTATACCAGCTGAGGGCACCATGGAGACATGGTCCTTATTTTTCAAAAAATGTAGCTAGGGCTTCAGTAAGAGAAAAGTACTAAATTCTTTTCCTATCATTTTGCTACGCACCAGTTTTTCTAAGTCTTTGTAAGGAAACCCTATTTAAGCTCAGCTCTTGCTGGAAATTAGAGAAAGCAAGAGATGGGGTGACCACAAAGTTCTGAGAAAAATTGTGTTATGAGACTGGAGCTGAAATGAACATCAACAGTGCCAGTGAGAGAGGGTGGAGGGAGCACAGTGATTTTAGAATACTTTTAACCAGTCTCAAACTCAATATGAAAAATGGAACTTCAATAGGAAAAACAGCATAACTGTCATTTCTGGCGTGCTTTTGTGAGTGAAAGCTACCTAGTCAATTGGGAAACATGCATTTCTCACCATATCTGTGTCCTCTTTGTCCATTAATTCATGTGACACATTTCCAAGCACCACTCTGTAAGGAGACTAGAGGGGAGTAGGACCAGACAGGATGAGCCAGTAGGCAGGAGGTCAGAGGGTGACCAACTGCCTGAGCAAGTGGGCAGGACATCAATCACGGAGACTTCAGGCTAGATGCCCAGAACACAGTTCCCAAGCCTGTACCTGGGGTCAACCAGAAAGTGCTAGCTTCAGTTCTTCAGGTGCAAAATCAAGCAGGTTTGTGATTGGATGGTCAAGATTTGACATCAACTCAAAAGAATGAGGAATACAGAAACTTCTGCCATTAACCTGGTGATGGCTGTGAACTCTCTCAGTGGCCCACTGTCACTCTGCAGAGTATACTTACTGTCCTACCTTTATTTGGCCCACACTCATTCTTCAAAACATACTTCTTTTCTACCTTCAGTAAATATAAAACCTCATTATCTTTTTTGTGTGTCTTGTCCAGTTCTTTTTTCAGGACAGTGAGAACTGGAGTCTATAGAACCTTAAGCCCAGTAACATATTTCTTGTCAAGCCCAGCCAGGAAGTAAGCAGTTTTGTTTGTGGGTGAGAAAAATTAGTAGAAGCTGGATACTTAGTTTTCTCATTTCTCTGGAATAGTTCCCTCGTGTGTCCTACCACGTAGGGGTGGGATATATCCAAGACAGCAGTGGGGTCACCATCTGCTCCCAGGCTGTGCCAATCTGTACCACACTGCCAGGGGTGGGGCCTAGACCTCTCTGCCCCCACCACACCCTGTGGGGGCAGGCTCACACTGGGGCAGGATTGTGCCAGCACCTGGGGTGTGTGGGGGGCTATACCTAGGGACACATGCACCAGCACAATTCATGATGAGACAGGAGATCAGGGCATGACAAAACTGGCTGGGAAAGTAGGTGTGGCCTGTTAATTACAAAATACCAGGAAACATGCAGAACAATTCTCAGAGTGCTGCATATGGACTTCTCACGAGAACTCAAGCAGGTTTTTGATTGGATGGCCTAGACCTGATGTCAGCCTGAGGAGTAGGTGATACGAAAGGAGTCTACACGGGGTTGTTGCCACTGTGTTCACTCTTGCATGGTGGCCCACCCTCACATGGTAGAGTGTACTTCTTTTCCTACCTTTACTTGGCCAAAACTTGCTCTGCAGAGCCTGTTTCTCCTTAACCTTTAATAAAACTTTGCTGCCCTGCGCATGTCTACAGAAAGAATGTAGAAACCACTTCCAGAAGGAGACTCCAGCACCCCAAAACCTGATAACAATGGGATGCCACAGTATCCATGCTTGTATGGCTTGGAGGCTGCCAGAGACCCTCTTATTAACCCAGTTACAGGACAGACTATTCAGATTTCAATGTGAGTGACCTAGAGTTTAGTATTCCTTTGTGCCTTCACATTTTTGTTCTTCCCAATACTTTGTTCAGGTTTCTTACTCTTTTGGGGAGAAATAGCTTTTGGCAACTCAGTCTCCTACTTGAGTATCCACCTACCTCAGCCTGCCCCTTTTTGTGCTCAAAGTGTCAGCTGTGCTTTTCCCCAGATGGCCTTTTATCTTCGGGTGTTCTTAGTAAGTCACTTACTCAGGACCCTGTTTCTTAAGGCCTCAGGTAACCATCCTGGTCCACCTTTCTGCCATGTTTGGCAGTCATTTTGGCTTGTCATGTGGGTCAGTCATGTGATTCGGCCATGTTTGTATGCCAGTTTTTTGGTTTTTTTTTTTGACTGACCTCATGGACACCAGAAAATCTCACCCCTATAGATAAGAGCTAAAGCCTCCACTTTCAGGGAACATATGGGCCTCCTGCTCTCTTCTAATTTGCGTTCGATCCCCTCTCTTTTTCTTCTAAAAGAAATTCAGGTGAATTAGAAAAGTGCCTGAGGGCCTGAGTGGACCAAAAGAAATAGCCAACTCTGCTGAACTCAACCAGATGTGAATATGCAAAAGTAGAGCTGGCGTCAATACATAACAAACCCTATACTTCTACTTAGAACTTTCTAAGGATTTTTTTCTCTTTTTTTGTCCCTTAAATGCGGGGGGGGAAAAAGAGGTTTCTATCTCCGTTGCCTTAAACAAGGTAATTACAACACTGTATCAGGAAAAATGGAAGCCACATTGTTTCTCATGTGGTTAGATGGAGCCCTGGGGGCCCCACCCTGGTCTTTAAGGAGTTAGCGCAGGCCACAGGCTATGGAGAGGTCTAAGGAAAGTTCTGGGGCCACTCCCTTCACCACAGTCACCTGGTAGTGCAGTTTGAGTCTCACAGGGGACACCCCGGGAATGCAACAAGGCTCTTTTCTTTTGTGGGGGATGTCTTCAGCAGGACCCCAGACAAAGTCGTCTTTCTCTTTCCACAGCCCTGTGAAGCACCAAGGGAAACACCTCACAGATCCCATTAAGCTGTATCCTTAAAAATTGGAAATAGTTCAACCCTGACAGTCTGAAAACAGAACAACTTATCATCTATGGATACTGTTTGGGTCCAGTATGAACTAGGAAATGGTGAGAGATGGGTACAGAATGGTAATTTCAGCTACAATACTATCCTTCAGTTAGTCTTTTTTGCAAAAGTCAAGGAAAGTGGTGTGAAATCTGCTATGTTCAGGCTTTATGGCTCTTCATCTCTGCAAAGGCTCAACAAAGGTACTTGCGGAGGCCTCTAAAGAAGAGGAAAATGATATCACTGATAATCCCATCCTCAGATGCCCACCTGTCTGTCAGGGAGGTGTGGGCCTCTCCTACCTGTTTAGTGAAAACTGTCATGTGGAAAGGTCTTAAATCCTTCTTATAATCCTCAGGCCAGTGAATTAGTCCTGTCCTCTTCAAGTGACTCAGAGACACACCAGAGGCAAGCTCCCCGGAAAGACAAGTATTCTCCAGCCCCTCCTTGGGCTCCTCAGACAACTTGTAGCCCACAAGACATGAGTGGAGCCCCTTATTCTTCCAACCCATAGCTCACTCTGCCCCTGTGATCCCAGGCTCCTTTTTCAGCAGCAGATATCCAACAATGCAAAGAACATATTTGGGTGATTTTCAGAAGATCCTAGTAGGTTTGCAGATGGCTTTCAAACTTTGACCCTTGCTTTGGACCTATTGTGGCAAGATGCGCAATTTGTCTTGGCCACTCATTATACCCCAAGTGAAAAACAAAGAACCCTAGAAGAGGCTAGGAGATAGGCAGATGAACGCTATGCTGCCGTAAGAGAAGGGAGAGGCTGTTGTCCTTCCAACAGAACCAAACTGGGACTATAGTTCTAGAGGTGGACTGGACATGAGGTTTTAAATGATAACTGCACTTACCATGGGAATAAAAAATACATTAGGAAACCTTTAAATTATAAAAGGAGGAGAGAGGTTTTACAGGACAAAGAGGAAAATCCAGCTGTTTCATAGCCAATTAGTAGAAACTTTCAGTAAATACCCAAACCTAGATCCAGCATCCATGGAGGGAGAGGCATTGATAGAAGAGCATTTCATTAATCAATCAGCCTCAGATATTTGGCACAAGTTACAAAAACTTAACATGACCCCCCAGTCTCCATAACCCAATCGCTAGACATGGCCTTTTCTGTGTTCAACAGCCAGAATATACATAAGGATGAAAGAAGGTCTAAGAAAGAAAAGGCAGCCAAAAATTATTGCTCTCACCATTGGCAGTGCTTTAAGCACACCTGTCATCCAAAGGAAACCCAAGGCCAATCAGAGAAAGAGTTCCTGCTTTAAATGCCACCAAAGTGGATAAGGGGCTTGCAGTGGTGCTGAGCCACTTCCCAGGCCCTGCTCCACGGTCAGGCAGCCAATGTGTCTGCCTCACAGCACAGAGTATCGACTGTCCCACTACCAGAGATGGGCAAGGGCAGCCAAAACCCTCACTCCCTACTCTGATAAAGAATACTGACGGGACTCAGCGCAGTCTACAATGCCCCTTCTACAGACATCTTGTGTGCTGTGAGGAGCCAGTGTGAACCTGAATATCATGGATAAACTCAGGCCCACCTGAAGTGTGGGAAAAGACCACCTAAAGGAAGAAAGTTACTCCTGTGAGCCTCTAAAAGGTCTCCTCTTCAAAACACCAGACTCCAGGCTGGGGATTTAGCTCAGCGGCACAGCCCCTGCCTGGCAAGCGTGAGGTCGTGAGT